CAGACACCTTTAAAGCAACACTGTATTGCTCTTAGCCACAAATCGTGCTAGACCAGTAACTTCTATATCTAAGCCCCCTGAGATCAATTGGCAACACTGAACTGTCGCAAAATTAAATAGCATCACTCAGTGTTTTAGAATTTGATAGCAGAGCACTTTGGAGCAGCAGATTAAGAAGTCGTGCAGTAACTTGTGGAGACAAGGTCACATTCAATCTTATGTCAGAGATACAAGAAATATGTCTGATCAGATAGGTGTCATATCGGTTAAGTTCCCCAAGCTTAGCTCTTGTGTTTAAGGGGAACTGAGACTTTTGTAAATCATCGCTTTAGGTCACATGTCTCATTCAGTGATGGGTCCCATTCTCTCAAGTTAAATTAGTGAGTTTTAGTAAAGCGTAACCCAAACAGAGCATTGATACATGCAAAGTACTGTATATTGATCTATGAAATAATTTGGTATATATCTCAAATTAAGCTTATACTTGTTTCAAAAGTTATGCAGTGGACCTTTAAAGCTCCGCAGAGGTCTGGTAACGAACCAATCGGTTTATTCACTTGTGTTGAACCAGGGAAATGTTTAAACGTGCACAACAGTGGTCCTTGAGGACTGACATTTTTCACCACTGGTTTAATCCCAACCATGATTTAGCAGTCAATGAATTTTGTTCTCCTTTCATGAAACCTTTACTTGAGGATTTTGTAGACACTAATTCCCCTCCAGTACAATGTTTTTTGAGACTGGAGCAACTGATTTAATCTGATTTCAGAATTGGTTATAGATTTATAACCAGAACAATTAAATGTGAAAAATCAAAACTCAAATACACGTCTGTATTTGTTGCTAAATAGACTACACAGCCCACATTAGGTCGCTGGAGTAATGAGAATAAAACGCACAGTTAAACCAGCCATGTTTTCACATTTAGTTTTGTGCTCATGTAAGAATGTAATTTGTTTACCCAGTATATTCCATCGCCAGTAATTAAAAGTCTGGAAATAGAAAATTGCTTTGCATTGTGTGCAGTGGAAAGTGAGCTAGGTTTGGCTCTGGGTCGGCGAATGAAGGTGTCGAAGCATGAGGCACCTGGCTGTGGCTCCCAGAGAAAAATGACTCCCATCTCCCACTCAGTTGGACCTTTTCCCACCCTTCCTCTCTTCACCCCACCTTTTCATTTTCAATTATGGGTTGTAATACGAATCCTTAATAGGGTGATAATTGTGCTAGCATATTTGCTGTCACCCACCATTAGCTCAGATTAATTAGCCCATTTACTTTAGTTTAAGAAAGTGTCTAGCTGAGGAATGGGAGCAATGATGGAAGGCGAATAAGAGGGAGAATGGATTCGGCACAATCTGTTCCATATCACTGTGCCATATTTTTTCTGCCTTCACCCACTCTCTGTATGATGTTCATTTCTTCTTCTTTTCCCGTTTAAATTTTTACACTCTTTTTGCAATATAGCTAAGATTGGGCTCATCTGCTTTGGTCCTACAGACCTTTTTTTTTTCTCTCCGACTTTATTTGGTGCTCTTTGGGAATGAATTACAAACCAATTTCAATAGTCATTTTATAATATTAATTGTTAGATGACCTGTTAGCAGAATACCTAAACTGGAGGCCAATCTTGTAGTTTGTTTTTCTAATCACACATCTGCTCTAACTTGTCATAGAATGATAAGAAGCAGAGATTGTTGAAGAATGAATCAAGATTAGCAAAAACACTAGAGAGGTAAGGTTGATTATCAATTTTGACCTGTCGAAACAATTACTGATCACACAAAACATGCTACAACTAAAAATGATATCTATCATTTAGCCATCAGTATTCTTTATTGTATTCTTTATATCATAAAGTGTAGAATATAAAGCTTTTACAACTTATTTGAATCTTTTTGATTCAGTTATTTTCAAATGTAATCAAATTCAAGACTACTTTAGTGATACCAAAGGGAAATTAAATTTTATAGTTTTTTTTCTTTTCTTTTTTTAGATAGTTAATAGCTGTAGGAAGACATGGATTTCATCTAGGGGTCACTTTTATGATGTATCTGGAGAAGCATTTAACGGAAGACACTCTGTTGTTGTTTGACCTTCTGATGAAGAGGAATGATGTTCTTCATTTTCAGAAGAATTCTTTGTAAAAATCGTCTCCAAACAATGGAGACCATGGACTCTGTGCACAACTCTAGTGCTTCCTGAACTTAAAGCAGCTCCTTTGTTTTCTGTCTTTCTCTACTGGAGGAACTGAGTAATCCAGGTGTGCCTGACCTCGGTAACCATGACGACAATGGCCCCATTCAAAGGGCTGTCATGAGAAAGAAAGCGAAAAGTATATTGCAGTGGTATTAGGGTAACAAAATAATCAAAACAATATTTATTTGTAAAAATAATTGTTTTAAAAAATGGAACGAAAGTTGGACTGAAAAAAAAAAACTAATGTTTAGATAGCAGTCAATGTCTGCCCTGCAAAAATATGTTTATCCTCCCACCTTAAAGAAACTCATGGTTTCGCAGCTTTTATAATTTTTATTATAGAGGTCTGGGCGACTGATAAATTGAAGGCAAGTCTTTAAAGTATTTTAAGCCTAAGCCCTTGAGTAATGTTTTAATTGAAGTATTTTAGAGTCTAAGTTGTGAGAAACAGGGAATCAGTGCAATAGTTTTTGCAAGTGGGTGATGTGCTCATCTTTCTTAGTTTTGGTGAGGAAGCGGGGAGCAGCATTCTGGGTCAGCTGCAGCTCTCTGATGAACTTTTTATGCAGACTTGCGAGAAACTGTTGCAGAAATCAGTTCTATTAAAAATTAGCGCATTACTTTTTTTATTACCTTGTTGTGCTTCTATTTATTTTGTTAGCTTTTATTCTTCTTTAAACCTTTTCGCGCTCATGCTGCTACCTCCGCAGATGATGGATGAAAGAAATCACCCCCACCAGCACAGACTTTTAGAGGATCATCCTTCTGACCTAAACTTTCTCAAAAACTACAGTCTGCTCCTCATTCTCATTTTTGTCTTTACAGTTGTGTCTCTACTCCACTATAGACTTGGTTCTATAGACATTTCAGACCTAATGCCAATCAGATTATGCTATTCCATAATTTGAAGAATAACCATATGCTTATAGAAACTGTAATTATAACTGTCTTAATCCTCCTTCACCTCTGGAGCAATGGTTAGCTTGTTGCTGTGGTTACAAGCATTCATAGACATGACTATTAGAGGAAGTAGCAGACATGGGAATTCAATTGGGGGATTTGAAGTTCGACAAAACCTAATATAGTGGCAACTAAATCTTCCACTTTATTGCCAAAGTTGGCAATAAGTAAAAAAAATCAGTTGAATTAGTTGAACTGTACTTGGAACTACTTGATAGGTAGTAGGACTGGATAATAATTAAATAATATATATCCATCAATAGACCTGTGGCGCAATTGAAAAAAAAGTTGGTTGATAAAAGTTCAGTATAGAAACAGTTTTCCTTCCTTTTCATTGTAGGTTGATGCTTAAGTCACCACTTCCCACCAACCAATCACAGTCACAGACCCCAGGAACACTGTCACAATGCGCCACCCTTTCAAATTACAACACTAAGCTTATGAAGAGTTTCAGCAGGAAAGGCGGAGGAAATTGTCCCAAATAAGGGTTTTAGTAGCTTAACAGTATGGCAATATTTCGGTTAAAGCAAGTCAGACAGAAACAAAATTTCGGTGATTTGTAATATTTTCTGGGAACCGGTAAAAACAAAGTCTTTTTAGAGAACCAACTTGTCTTATCATCCAAGCCACTCACACCCAATCGAGGACGAGCTGTTTCTCAACATCGTCGGAGCAACCTTCAGGAACTTCTGCCTAAACAAAGCAGGAGAAGCGAGCTAAACTGTGCTTCCTTCTTTGTGATTAATACGACAACCTTCCGACCAGCATAAGGACATCACTCTTATCGCTCGCCACTCTTAATCTGCGATGCAAAGTTCTGCGCTGCAATTTTTCTCTAACTAAAGCTCCTTAATTTGTACAATGAAGCAAGGAATCAGTGCAAAATAAGCTGCAATCTGTGTCTCACTACGCCACAACATCGGACCTCTGCTCATGTCACATATCCGAGTCCTATCTCAGCCTCTCAATTCACTACATAGACAGAGAATGGAACCTGAAGCAAGTGTTTAACAGCGTCACTCAGGTCTCTTATGTTATTTTTCTTTAAAAAGAAATCAGTTATGGTTAAAAAAAGTTGGTTAAATAAAGATTTGATTGGAATTCTGTGATTGTTTAAGTAAATAATTTAGCAATATTATAAAATGGCCTGAGCTGCACTTAAAATATGGTTTTTAATCTTTTAGATAATTATTGATATCGATCAATATGCATTTTGTTTTTTATCGATATGCTTTTTGTCTGTATCGTCCCGCCCTAGTTGGTAGGTACATCTTAAATTACTCATTCATACATTTAGGGGCAACTTGAAGCAAATCTCTGCCTAACGTTTTTTGAAAAGTTTCAAACCGTCATACAGTCCAAAGGTTTACCAGTTGTCGTCATTTAAAGCGAATGTTTCCAATTACAGGAAATCTTTTGATTCAGTTTTGGTTTAAAAGTGTTGCTTAATGGATCTCTAATCGCTCCCTCCACCTTGGGCTAAGTCACATGTGTGCAGCAGTGGAGTGACTTGGCCATGTCAGGAGCTGCATATCTCTCTGCAGGCAGTGGGAAATGAGGTCTAATCGCAAGGATATTAAAGTCACAATAGACTGCTCCTGCTATTAAGGCCTGTCAGCCCTGGGCCTCTCTCTCACCTTGATATCTCCCCGTCTCTGAATATTTATATATTTACATCAGGAGCTCTTACACAGCGCAATGTGTGCATGTTTCTTTGTGTGTGTGTGCCGCTATGTCAGGCGAGGAAATTCATCATCGCTGTAGCCACTCAAGCTTTCCGAATATGTTGGTGTGTTGCTCTGTACGTGCTGACACGCTCCGCCTTTCTGTCCTCCGATCCTCAGGTGCGGCGGGGGCGAGGCTGCTCACAGGTCAAAACAAACCTGACGCCATGGATGTGGATGAGGAGGAAAACATGAGTGAGTCCATCTTGATGTTTCTCATTGGTCCGTCCATCTTTTCTTACCTTTATTTTTGTTCCCTCCTTTCTGTCTGCCTGCTTTTTTTATCCTTCTCTTTTTGTATGTTGCGTAATCAGTGTCAAGATTTGTTGTTTACTCATTACTGTCGAAAAAAAAAAGCATTATGTGTCTCAGGACTAAAATGAAGTAAGAAATTGGGTTTGGATTAAATGTTATTAAAATAAAAACTCTTGTGTTGGGAAATACTTGACCATTTAGATCTGAGTGAGAAAATATTTATGGTGAAATTAAGGTATGTTAAATTCTTCGGTTTGATGAATTAATACATGGTATAATAGTCTGTTTTATCCATAGTCTTACATCCTTTCAATCCAAACTCCAGTGTACAAATAAACACGACTTATATGAAGTATTAACTTAGTGTAGATGAATGCTCTGTAATTCTACACAATTGCACCTAATTTTTTAATTCAGTACATAACTGACATTATATATCAAGATTCAGTGTTTGAATTTTAGCCCTCTCTCATTCACATGTTAGGTTTATTACTTTATACATCATGTGCACAGAAACGCTTTACTGCCTGCATAAGTTTCAGGCAAATAGAAGTAACTTAGGCCCCGTCCACACGAAGACGAACCCTGGCCTAAACGCACAAATTTTTCACCAAACCAGCCTCTCATCCACACGAAGCCAGCGTTTCGGGGGTCTGTAAACAATCTTTTTTTTATTCAGCCTTCAGAGTGGGAAGATTTCGAAACGCCGTTTTCGCGTTTCCATCTTTACGCTCTAACCGCATATTTTTTTTTACACGCATGCGTCATAGCGTCGCCTCTAAACACGCATGCACGACACAGTATCACAACAACAATGGCGCCGTTGCTGCTAATGCTACTCACCCTGCTGTCGGGCTTACAACAGAATCTTCTTCTTCTGGAATATCTCCAGGAAGAACAGAGCAATATAGACGACATAGTTCAGCACCTGAATTTGACTTAACCACGAAAATGGACCCGCAGGGCAACCATGTATAAATATAAGTGCGCATGTCCAACATTTCGTCGCTTTTTTTTGCTTTGGCACCACAGCGCCACTTACAGGCCTGGCATACATTTTGCAGCGTTTTTATGCATTTGTGTGGACGCTCACATTTATTTTACGTCTCCGTCTTTACGGCAAACGTTTTGGAAAATATCAGCGTTTCGTGTTCGTTTTGACTTCGTGTGGACGGGGCCTTAATCAACTCAATGACTTTGAGGTGTCCAGGTTTTGAGGCTAAATATCCTGCCTAAAAAATGCATTTAAGATTCTGTATGTAGTTTGATCAGAAACTAAGGTAGGCTAACCTAAGACATTTTAACATTTTAAAAAACTCACTAGCACCACAACTCCTAAATACTGCCTTACCTTATGTTTCTAACTGCTACCATATTTACACTAATGCTACTCAAATATTTCAACAGTGACCCAACAAAAACCTTTTTTGATTTCATGCAACACTATTCACAAGCTCTGTCTGCACTCTGAAGGACTTACTTTCCCTGAGGAAACCAGATGCTTGAAAAAATGTAAAATAAGTCTGAATATCAGCTGTTCTCTATCTGACCACTTTGGGGCATTCGTTCATTTAGATGCTGTTCCAAGATGGTCAGCTGATCCTTAAATACAGAAAGGAATTTAAAAAAAAAAAAATGTAAGACCGGAGTAAGTAAGTAAATTACCTGTTTCGAAGCAGCAAAAAAATGCTCAGTCCCGAAACACATGCACTATACATCCTGCAAGTTCATAAAATGGAACATATGTACTTAAGAAATATGAAAGAACCTAATTGTAGCTTAAAATATTATTTATTTCTTCAGACTAGGTTGGGAATTGATAAAATTTTCATGATTTTGATTTCTTTATTGATTCTGTGAAACAATGAAATTGGTAAGTGCAAGGTTACATTCGTCTACCTTCGCCTGAGACATTCTATTTCTGCCTGCCTTGGCGAAAACAGAAGGCAGTGAACGGGAGCTGACAGCCTCTGAGCCAGTCAGGCTACCTGTCTTCTCACAGTCATCTAAATCTAATGGAGAAGGCATCTGTTTAATGAAAAAGCATTACTGTATAATTTCGAGAAATAAACTCATCTCCCCCTGATTTAAATAAACGAGCGTCACCTTTCTCTCGCTCCCTGAATGGCGGAGCAACATCATAGCATGTTTAATAACCCCAAAGAGAGGTAGGAAACTGGTTTATTTCCAGAAATGGCATATGATTTACTAGGAACCACATTAAGCACAGCCAGTGATATAAAACTAGCTGCTTACTACCAGAGTTGCCTTCCATGCTGGTTGTAACTTTAGCTTCTGTCCAGAAGCATCAAAAACGCAGCATTTGTTTGTCTGCACTTTGGATGTATTTCCTCCCGCTGATATTATTGCCACTTTACATCCAAACTTTTGATCGGTTTACCCGATGAGATGCCGCTTTTTTGTTTTGCTTTTCTAGACTTACGCCTGGTCACGTCGTACTTGCTTACTGAATGCCGCGTACGTAACTTGCGTCAAAAACGTGACATAAGTCGTTGGCTGCTCTGTCTGAGCCGTCAAGTCTCCTGTTTACAGTATTTTATACTTCTTTCAGCTGTATTAGCAATCTCCCCCAAATTTTCTGATTTATTGTAATATAAAATTATATATGACATTCATCTGCCTCTCCAAATGTAACTGTCGCTAGCATCACAAGTCAAAATCTAATCACCTTATCTTAGATCTCTTGCACACCTGTCTTAAAATATAATGGATACTGGAGCGGATGTCGTCAAATGTCTCGTATTTTCAAATCCAAAGCTCAACAGTTATGACAATGTGGCAGCTGTCTATAATGTTATTAATATTTCTCCTTAATATTTCTAGATCTAGAATGAAATGGCAGTGAAGCAAAAATCGTTCCAGACTGATGGGCATTAACAGATATCTGCAAACATTACTGACATCTGGTCTGTTTGCTGTCAACCAGCAAACCCCTTCCTGCTACAAGCTAAAGGTAGATTTTAGGACAAGATTTAATAATCCTGGAACCTGGAAAACAATTTTTATCATCTAAAAAAAAACTATCTTTCTAGAACCTGAGAATTGCAAACTGAAGTACTTTCTTTTTGAAATATCTATAGCAAGGTATTTTATGTCTTGTCTTAAAAAAGGAAGAACACATTCACACATCAACAGATAAATAGGCCATATTAACTTAAATCAAGCCTTATGTTGATAACGTATCCCAATTTAGGATACACCAGATATTCTCCCCCAGCTCTGTCTGTGCTCAAGCTTATTGAATTTTAATAAGACACAGGAGCTGTGTTCCTATTACACCCACAACAATCACACTCAAAGTTAGCTGTAGTCACAACAATATTTTAAATCTTGATAAAGATGAAAAGGTGTGATTGTCGTCATATTCTGCCTTCACTTTGCGGAAGGGTATGTTGTCATGTGAAATATGCTGCTGCTAAATTGTCTTTGTTGCCTTTCAAAGCCTCTGAAGCCTCGATTTACATTTTCATTCCCAGATATACATAAAAGATATATCTGAAGATAAAACGCAGTCCTAGCTCACACAATTCTACTTCTTTAATACCGAAGGAGCACCAGGGGAAGAAAAAAGCTAATGTTGTAGCTTTGATGTGACAACCCGTCCAGCTCTTAAAGCTCTAATCTGATAAAATAGAGCAAAAACCCCAACAGCTACGTTGGACTGAAAATTAAGTCAAGATGTTTCACTCATTAAATTACAACAGATTACTTTAAATCTTTTCAAAGTATTAAAAGTTACCTCAAAATGCTGATTACACAAATTCCAGCATGTCAGTGACCACAACTGCATGTCTGTTCCATCATTTCATGCATGGCTTTTGCTTTATGCCTTTTTTTCCTCTTATGTCTGATTCAGTTGTTGGTTTGAGTTTTTAGCTCTGCTGGGTATCCAGATTACATTATTATTTGATGCCTATCCTGGCCAGGTCTCCCTTGCAAAAGAGATTTTTAATCTCAATGGGTATTACCTGGTTAAATAAAGGATAAATAAATTACACTTAATAGAAATAGTAGAAGTTGTGTTTGAGGGCAAGATATATTAAATGGTGTTTTGCCTAAATAAAGTGTTGTGAATAATAATGAGAAAAGAAGCTGCAGATTTTTGTGTGCCATTTCTTCACTGTAAATTTGCAGCATGCAAGATATTTATTAATGTTTCGTATTTATTGGTTTTATTTAATATCCATGCGCATGGATGAAACTGATAAAGAAATGTACAGTAATTATCTGATTTTATGAAAGAAATTACATCTAAACATTTCAAATATAACACACTAGTTGGTTCCTGTTAATATAACCTAATGCAGAGACACAACCTATGAACCACATTAATAATTATTCATTTTTGTAAGCCATATATATATTTCTAGAGTCCAGGTTCCAGCACCTGATTGGCTGTGGGATTGTCTGGGGTTTTGTTTTATTTTGTTTTCAAGGCCTTTCTTTCCACCAAAGCTGTTTTAGAGCTACACCAGCACTGGTCCCTAACTGGTCTTATAGACTTTTTAACTGGAGTCGAGTCTAATTTCTACAGTTTTTTTTTTTGTTTGTTTCTTAACAAAAAGCAAACAGACACTTAAAAGCTTGATGTTTTACATGAGTTTGAAATGCATATCTCCAGAATTTGTTAAAAGGGAAATTTAAGGGATTTATCCAAGTTTAAACAATAATAGCATGCTATAAAAAAAAAACTTACATCCTTTCACTGCTAACTTTTTTAACCATAGAGTAACTCCTTTAACATTGTTGTGGTTTTATTTCAGGAAAGTTTAAATCAGAACTTTCTAAGGAGTGGTAAATGTGTCACACACACACCGTTATAATGGATCGGTAGTCTCCCTATCCAATTTAGTGTCGTTTTTTCCGTTAATCTGGATATGACCTTGATGTTACCATTTTAGTTGTAGATGAATTATTTGGCATCCATGTACTTAAAATTTGCTTTTGTTTTTAAATAAGAGGTAAATATGGTTTTACCATTTTATTATTATTTAGGTTGATTGTGTTTAATTTCTAACAAACACAAATAAGACCATTTTCCACTGATTTAAATTCATTAATGGAAGTTAACCTCATTTTCATTTAACAGAAGTTACATAATTTGGATTGTTGATTTTATTTACCAGCATTACACTATAAATGTATAAGTTTCAGAGGAGGAATTTCAACAAAAGGACTGACCTCCTCCTGATTTATTGGTAACGCATTACTACATCCCATATTAGATATTAGATTATTTGCAGGCTTAAACTTTTTTTTTATCATCACCACTAAGGTGGTATGAAAAGTGTCCTTGTTGTGTATAGATTAAAACAAAGATGGCTGTTCCATGGTAAATTGGTGCCGCAAAGTTGGGGAAATACAAAAGTTTGAAGAAGGGTGAAACGACCAGCAGCCGTGTAACTCTCCACCCAATAGAAACCCAGCAATTATTTGGTGATGATATAAAAACACGTGGTGCTCTTTGAAGTGCTGCAGTTTCTGCTCTCCATGAAGGAAAAAAATAAAATAAAGGTGAGATCTAGCTCTGGTTTACCTCTAAAACTGTTTTGGTGGCAAAAACCTACATTTTGATCCTGTCTTCATTTGCAACACAAGGGCATAGCTCTAAATGCATGCTGATGAACAGATTGCATGTTTTCAGGTCATAAACTGAAAGAATTGCAGTTTGTGATCTTAGGTTTTTTTTTTTTTTTCTGACTCAGGACATGTCAGTAGCAGTGTGCAGTTGGTAATGGCATGTCAAAACATTTTGTCAACACTCTGCTCTCTGACAAGCTCCAAGGGGGGATCTCAGAGGCGCAGGGTCTTATGAATGGCACCTCATTAGCAAAGCTTTTTGTTTGTGTCTTAAGACTTTCTTCATTTTCAATACGGGATTCTTTATTTAAAAAAAAAAAGAAAAGAAAAAAAAAAAGCAATCATGTTAATGGTGTAAACTGCATTTTAACCTCCACCGTGTCGCCAGTCAAGCCTTTAGGATCCTGCAGTAGGTGGAGTCTTCTCCTTCTGCCTCTTTGATGTACTCTCCTGTTTGCCTGGTCCTCAGCTTCCTACCCCTGCACTACTTTCCCTGCACTCCCTCAACCCAACCTACAATCCCACTCATGCACACTGCGGCCTCTCTTTCTCTTGAGTACCGCAAGGAGTAACCTATCAAGCCTTTGCTGAAGGATGTTATAAATGAAAATTTTTCCCAACATTCCATCCACTTTGCTAACTGGAATCAGTGATATGTGTTCCCCTTAGTCTAGGGTACAATTGGTTCTGGTTTTCCTTTAGAAACAATTATTAACTGGGTCAAAAAGGAACCCTTAAGTCTGGTTTTTGTGTGCCTGTTGTTTGTTCGCCCTGTCCATGTGCAATGTCTATTGTCTATATTTTTTATGGAAATACAACACATTATCACTTTTTTTATAACTGTAGTAACTTTGAGTGAACCCGAAGAGTAGTTGGCTTAATTTTGAGTTTAAAAAGCAAAATGTTTACAAAGGTACCCTGCTATAGCTTTCACTGTTAATCTGAGGAAACAGTTTTTTTTTCTATTTGTCTTTTCTGTGAGGTTTATAAATTCTATCCTAATTATATAATTGTCTTGCTGTTATAATGGAACACAAATCATTGGTTCAGTTCCAAAGAGTGATAAAGGAATCTATAAATTTTGCATTTACAAGATCCTGCAACGAAGGCGTTGTAAGTTACTCTTTCTGGGCACCGCAGGTTCAAGCAGCACAGACGTTAAGGAAAACCGAAACCTGGACAACGTGTCCTGCAAAGACGGGATGGGAGTCGGTGATCAGCTCCCCAATGGAAGCGGCCATGGCAGTCGAAAGCGCCCCTTAGAGGAGGGGAACAATGGGCAGGCCCATTCCAAGTTCCGGGCAAAGAAGCGCAAGAAAACACCAGGGCCGGTGCTGCCCAAAAATGCTCTGATGCAGCTAAATGAGATCAAACCAGGTCTGCAGTACAAGCTGCTGTCTCAGACTGGGCCGGTCCATGCACCAGTGTTTGTCATGACTGTGGAGGTTAATGGGCAGATGTTTGAGGGCATGGGTCCGACTAAGAAGAAGGCTAAGCTGAATGCAGCCGAGAAAGCGCTGCGTTCATTTGTTCAGTTCCCCAATGCATCTGAGGCCCACCTGGCCATGGGTCGTACACTGACGGTGAATACTGACTTTACATCAGATCAAGCAGACTTCCCTGACATGCTCTTTAATGGCTTTGAGACACCCGCCACACCTGAAGAATCCTTCTATCTAGGCTCCAACGGTACAAACTCACTAGGGGAGTATCCGTTACCCACACCACCTGGCAGCAACCTTGCCCAGGCTCCTTTACCCCCTCCATCTGTATTCAGCTCACCCTCCACTGGCAAAAATCCAGTCATGATCCTCAATGAGCTCAGGCCAGGCCTCAAATATGACTTTGTCTCAGAGAGTGGTGAAAGTCATGCCAAGAATTTTGTGATGTCAGTAACAGTGGACTCACAGACGTTTGAAGGCTCAGGGCGGAACAAAAAGTTGGCGAAAGCCCGGGCAGCACAGGCCGCCCTCTCTGCTCTCTTCAACATGCAACTAGACCAGACACCGTCCAGGCAACCCATACCAAGAGAGGGGTTGCAACTTCACCTTCCCCAGGTAAGTTTTTTTTTTTTGTCTTTCCAAATTTCTCAACAAAATCTAAAAAAGTTAGATTTTAATTGGTTTAATTAGTAAAAGACTGACTGTATTGGCTACTCTATCCAAACATAAATGTTACAAACAGATTAAATAATAATGTATATCAAAGCAAGAGAAGTGAGCTGCAATTACCCAACAATAGAACAGAATATAATGTCTGTATGAACATGAAAAGCATTAAAAAAGTGACTGTTCCAATACAATAACAAGCAACACATGGCAGGATCTTATGTTGAGTGCAATTAATGCACAAGGTAAGAAACTGTTTTTGAGTCTGTCCAATTGTGTCCTACATGAGAACCCAAACCCACAGACTGGCAGAGAGAGATTAGCACACGTTTTCTGTAACTATGCAAAGAGATTAAGCAATTTTTGCGCTCTTGGAAATAAATACGGTGTAGGTACTAGATTGACTCGGGCTGCCAGATTGACTCGGGGGGCCTGCGTCTTTTGATGACGTCACAATACATAATTGTTTTAACGTTTGCACAATTGCGCAAAACATTTTGATTGGTCTGGACAGCTTACTAAAGTAATTATAGCGGGGTGTAGGTTTTATTCGAAAGCGGGATTGCGGTTTGTAAACGGACAATTTTACGAAGAAATTCTCCATGGTCCCTGCGCCTTCCGATGACGTCACCGAATTCGCCATGGGCCTTGCGCCTCCCGATGACGTCACATTATGGCAACGCCACTCAAACAAACTACATTGAGCCCGCGGTCTGCATTTGTAACGAGAATAAATAGAGACCGCGGGCGCAATGTAGTTTGTTTGAGTGGAGTTGCCATATCATTACGAGTGGCGTTGCCATATAGTGACGGGCGGAGTTGCCATATTATGACGTCATCAAAAGGCGCAGGCCCCCGAGTCAATCTGGTACCTACACCGGCAGCAGACATTCTTGTTTAACACCCGATGAAAGCAGTAATGATTGCTGTTTCCAAAAAAAAAAAAAACTCCTCAACAGGATTCTGTTAAATGACTTGGGTAGAATAGTTATTATAATTTTGTCGAAAGAGAAAAGGCAGTTAGGAAGTTAATAGATTTTGAGAAGAAAATAAAACTACAGTTATAGGTCAGGCACATCTTAATAAATTCTGTTCTGATGAAGCACATTTTCTTGGATTAATCTATTCCTCATTTATAAAGCCACTAATGTATATCGCCACATAGGACATACAATAGTATGACACGGGAACCATTGCTATGCGTTGTCTTGGCTGCACAGGTAGAAGTTGTGTCAAAAGTAGCCAAAACAGGTTATTTTTTAAGTTAAATAAACTTTTATAAATAGGATGATATTCTGCTTTGGGCAGTTTGATTAACTTAAATTTACTAACCCGAAATATATGCCCCAAAAAGTTTGGAAAAGGTAAAGCGATGTACACAATATTTAGAATACCCGACAAATCATTTTCTTGGTTAACTAAAGGTTTGACTTATATAATACAAGGATTTCAATACTCAGGTATTCATTTGTTGTTCATGTTTATGAAGAGTTTACAGAATCTGACATACAATTTCAGCATCACACAAATATTTTTTAACCTAGTTGTGATGCAAAGGCTATGCTAAGGTTTTTAATTTTCAGCACTAGTGTTTATGTCTCACCTGCTCCATTATGAATGAATATTGACTGCCAGCCAGAGTTTGGCTTTTTTTCTTTTTTACCCTCTCTCTCTCTCTCTGCTACTCTGAAAGTTTCGGTGTTTCTCTGACAATGCAACTGACAGACCACTCTCAAAGCTAGGAAAAGGGGGTATATGTCCCAGGTATAACCGAAAGCACCATTAAATATCCCACTCCTGCCGCTGTCCAGTCCACCCCTGAATTCAGAAACTTTCTTTGAGCTTTTCAAAACAACTGACAGGATCCTTATAGCTAATATTTTAGACTTGTCAACACTGTAATGCACAATCTCCACACTGCTTTTGTATTAGTTTAGCAAGACTTTTTTTGTTTTGTTTTTTATGTTTTTGGGACAGATTCATGCTGTTTCCCCATTAAATCAGCATGGTATTGATGACATGTTTCAATATAAGCAGTGGTGCCTGAGTGTGCCCAACGCCACCTATAATGGCTAACAGGGGTAGTCTTATCTATTAATATACATTAACATATAAAAACAACATAAAATGTAACACTTCATACAACATGCGAACTCAGTGGTTCTGCAAGGTAACGACACAGTGTGATGTTCTCTTTTCACTTGCTCACAGCAACCTTTTATTATATGTCACTCAGTTAATTAATTTCTTGCTGTTTAGCCATCAGTACAGCTCTTTAGCTCCAAACCTGGACAAAAAGTGCTACTAAATGGTCACTTCCATGAACTGTAATGAAGCTGAGGATACGATTTGGCCTTAAGGAATTTTTTTTTTTTTTATAAAAGTAGCTGTATCTAAATCATAGTCAGCCATTGTTAATGGTTTCAGCTGACAGTAAAGGGAACGGCTTAGTGCCAGTCTGCAGCACTAATGTGCAAAGTTATGGAACAACTAGAGTCATCAAAGACGGGCATGATTGGCATTGATTTTAACAAGAAACGTGTATGCAAGCTTAAAAGATTTTATTAGTTATCCTCTTACTGGATAATGCTTTACATATGTTTACCTGGTGAGGTACAGATGATCTCAGATGTGTGGTTATGGAAAAAAGGAAACTAAGTGGCTTTTTGACATTAAAGGGAAAGTAGAAAACAAAAGCTGCTAATTAAATTCCTTTGTTTGTCTGATCTTTGGCCTTGTGAATCTCTGTAATAGCATGAGTCCTTCCATAAGGTGAACTTATAAATCAGCATTAACCTTCACAAAGCAGTTTAAGATGTCAGTGACTAAAGTCCATCATTTTATAATAAAAATATCATTGATTAAATAAACATTTTTGAGACAACTACTTTTCTTGATATGTGCTTTGTAAAATTACTCCTTATGAACTGATTTTATACGAATTGGATTAAATCCTACAGCTTATGAAAATAGGGATACAGTTAGACTAATAAAGTATGAATTTTTTGGAAGTATCGTCTGGGGAATATTGTCATATAAATGGTGCAAAAGCTTAAATTAATCGCAAGACTTCTGAAACAATGAATTTAGGTGCAGCCAAATGAAGCACATTATCTAAACCATTACTTGCAACTGTTAGGCACAGAGGCGGAGGGGGTTATTTGCACTTGCTTTGCACCCAGCCTAGTTTACCTGGGCAACTTTCAGTCTTTTAGTCTAGCAGGACGCCAATTTTTCCAGTATTTTAAAGTAAAACCTAAGGCCTTTTACCAGATGATGAAATGGAGTCATCAGCAGAACAGTGAGAATGGACCAAAGGATATACAGCTGTACATAAATTAACTTCTGCAGAGCCAACTTGAAGCAACATCATGGTGAAACCAGAAAGTGTAGAAAAAGAAAAATAGAAAACAAACTTTATTGATCTCACAGTGGAGAAATTAACTCTCTGCATTTAACCCATCCCCTTTGGGAGTAGTGGGCTGCCACTGTGCGGCGCCCAGCGAGCAATGTGAGGTTAAGGCTCTTGCTCAGAGACCCAGAGTGGCAGTCTGTGGGGATCGAACCGGGTACTTGCAACCTTCTCAGAGCACAAGCATACTGCACCAACCACTAGACCAACACTACTTAAGTCTTACAGAAAACTTACTTTAAGACATTACCATTAAACGTTATTCTATTTGATGTTAAACCAGTAGTTGAACTTAGTTTTACCATGTCTGTATCAATGAAAACATGTTATTTTAGTAGGTTCTGGTAGAGGATGAAGCACACATCTAAAACTAATGTATTCCTCTGAAGCGAATATATAGCTTTGTTTGATTACAGGAAGCAAACTGCCAAATAGTCAACCTTTCAAACTGTACTAATCTAAAAAGCTGTCATCAAAGCCTCCTTCACAGCGGTTTGAGAGAAGTGAAGTCACATTGCCTGTCTGAGATGAGTGTCAGTGGGGAGAGAAAATTAACTCATTCAGCAAAGCCAATCAGCCTGACATTGTCAACAGGCTTTTTTTCTTTCTTTGTTCCCTCTCTCATCTTGTCCTGCTGCCTATATCATTGGTGACACCCACACTAATTACTCAAACTAATTTCCAGTTGCACGATATTTTAATTTCTGTTATCCCTTCCTATGTGGCATAGCACTTATTGGAGAAAACAGGCTGGCAGAATCTCAACATCTTTTTCTTTCTTATTTTTAATTTTAATTTGTTTTTATTTTGGTTCGGACAACAAATTCCTCATCACGCATTTTGTGAGAGAGAACAAAACAGCAGGACAAGTAAATAGTATTTTTTTACATCTATAAAGTTTAAAAGGCTTTTTTGTCCTTAGCATTAAAAGCTGAAGTCATCCGGTTTTAAATGGGCAGCTAAAGTAGCAGGGAAGTAATATTAGACTGATTTCTTTAATTTGTGATCAACCAGCCGTCATCTTTTGGTTGTGGTCATTTTCCATCGCATTAGCAGTGGTTAAAGAGCCTGCAAGAGGGGCTGGCTGTCCAAAAACTTAAAGATGTGTGAAGTTCATTTTAGCTTTCCTCAAATGTTTGGCTGGAGATAAAGTTCTAGAAAGCAGGAAAACACTTCGCTCACAACTGATGTGCAGGTTTATTTGTTTGTTTGTGCTCTCAGAAGGGAGCTGATAAACCAAAACTGTCATTCCAAACTCCAACAGTGCTGCTTAAAAGATTGTTATGCTTACCTCAGAGGGGGTCAGCCCAGTTTCACTTGTTGCTGTTTCAAGTCTGTGACTCTTGTTTGATGTCAGATGAGAGCACTGTGACAGGTAGATAGTGCTCCAGGGGGGGATAACATCAGACATGCTCTGAAGGCTGACATATCTAAGGCAAGCTTTTTGTGTCTGCACGGTTATGTGCATGTGTCCTCCTGCTCGCTTGTCTGTGTCTCCAGGTTCTGGCTGACGCTGTGTCTCGCCTGGTGGTGGACAAGTTCAGTGAGCTGACAGACAACTTCACCTCCCCCCATGCACGACGAAAAGTCCTGGCAGGAGTCGTCATGACAACAGGTAAAACTGGACAAGGAGACCCGTTGCGAATTTTGTGTTTTAGGGAATGTTTCGGTCGTTCAAAGGGACATGAAAACAAAAAGATTAGCAATTTGGATGTTTACTGTGTCATGAAAAACAAGATCAAAACATGTATGATATTTACCACTTTTTTACTGACAATTTGTCTTATATTTAATCCAATTCAGTTTATTTATACAGAGCAAACTGCCATAACATCCCACGTTTGTTTATTTTTTTGTTTATTTATTATTAGGATCCCCATTAGCTGTGCTTTACACCCAGCTACTCTTCCTGGGGTACACATCATTAAAATACAGTACACAATGTAAATTCATGAACATGTTTGACAGATGACAAATATCATATACATATCAATAAGACTGAACATTCATAGAAAAGGGGAAAGTTACAATTTAAAATTTTAACATTTTATGAATAAGATACAATAAATTAGAATATGAAACTATTTCATTTATAGATAGTCCTAAAAACTTCTTAAGTTGCATTTTGAAAGCAGATTTATGTACAATTTTTATGAGAATTAATGGCAAAAAGTTCCATTCTTTCATTGCTCTGTAAGTAAAGGTGCATTTAAGAAAATTAGTTTTCGCCCTAGAAATTACAAATCGTCCTTCAGCTGCATGTCTCGTGGCATAACCATGAGAGTCCAAATTATTTTAAAATTGAACAAACAGAAACAGTGGACTCTGGAGTTTTAAGATTTTCCACATTGAGAATAATAGCAAAACTAGTGCCCTGTCATGAACCTTTAGCCAGCTTAGATTTGCATGCATGGTATTTATACTGGTCCTGAAAGAACAATTTAATGCTACACGGGCAGCTTTATTCTGCATTATTTGAAGTTTCTCTAAATCTTTTCTTTTAGCATTTGACCATATTGTTTGACAGTAGTCAAGTTGAGAAATTATTAATGTTCGTTGTTATAACGTCAAGGCACTTTACAGGAACAAATCTTACATAACTCTACAAAAGGATCTTACTCCATGTTAGAATTTCTCTTACTGAACCCCTAGTGATAAATAAGCTGCTGAAGAGCCGATTCTCAGCAAGTTGGTTTTAAAGAAGCCAAGACATGTTTGATTCTTCTGCTTTTGTATTTTAAGTTTCTATAGACTAACACAGTTAACACAGTATCTTGTTATACGTGAAAGCATTGCGGCGTCTGAGCTCAGTTTACATGGTGGCCAAGCGAAGACTCCTACTGGCAGGACAAGTATAAACGTTTATAGACATGCTATGATTTGGCCTATAAGTATCACTATGATGAACAAATTCAATCATCTCTTGGAAAGAAATTTCAGCCACTTTATGATGACCTGAAGAGGCATTGAAAACTTTTCTTTCTACTTCTATATAAAGTTTTATGTTGTAAGTTTGCAGCCTGTGCCTTACAATACCCCCTAGAGTCAGCCACAGTATTAGGTCTATCCTATGGTAGACGCATGAAACATTAACCAGCCTTAAGTAAGACAAGATTAGAGCAATGTATTCGGGTGAAATAATAATGAAAGTATTCTTAGTCGAAGTACCAAAAAATAAATGCACTAAATGGGAAATATATCATTCTTAACTGGTTCTTGCATTGCTCTTATAGAGGACATAAGTGAAATACCAGTGAACATTGGAAGTAACCAATTCCAAACATTTTTTTTTAAATGTATATATTGCAAACATAATCAATCAGAGCTTCTTGCTCTAACTATAAATCACAGTTCTTATTATGGTGGTATTTGCTTTAAAAAAAAAAAAAAAAAACAACTAGCAAGATTCTTAACTAGAGGAATTAAAGTTGATTTTGTAGAGAATCAAATCCTGGGAAGGTTTTTAAGTATTCATGCTGCAATTAATGTGCCTTCCATTCATTTTAGTGTGAGTTTCTAAAAAAAAAAAAAATGGTGGGGAATTCACAGAGTTAAACAATGTCACGACCACACACTTGATTTTATTCTTAAGTAACTGTTTCATTTTAAAAACTGGAACTTTAAAAATAATTTGTATGCATTGAGACCAGTGACTGAGACATGCATGATTTAAAGTTTTATTAGTTTTTGAAATGTATCGTCTCTCAGGACAAAGAGTCTGTTTTCTGCATTATTGGTGCTTGATTAAGTGTCACAACAATGTGCAACGTTAGTTAAGGGACAGCATCCAGTGTGTGATGTGATACACCTGTACGTCTTTGTTTTTGCCCCTCAAACAGGGACTGATGTGAAGGAAGCACAGGTCATCTGTGTCTCCACTGGAACCAAGTGCATCAACGGCGAGTACATGAGCGACCGTGGCCTGGCACTTAACGACTGCCATGCGGAGATAATCGCCCGGCGCTCGCTCATCAGGTACCTCTACACCCAGCTGGAGTTCTTCCTCAGGTTAGCAGACAAATACACTGTTTATTCAGTCATATAAGGTTTATATTTCTACAGATTTACTGGATCATATTGACATTTTTATGCCCACTTAGATATAATGTATCAAGCATTTTATTATTTTTTTTATTATAGCAACATTAAAGACGACCATCACAAGTCTATATTTGTGCCATGTGACAAGGGAGGCTACAAATTAAAGGACAACGTTCAGTTCCACCTGTACATCAGCACCTCACCATGCGGAGACGCAAGGATTTTCTCTCCGCATGAAGCCGGAGTGGAAGGTATGAAACCAGCCAACTATTTCCATGTATCCTACTCAGCTCTGCAGACATATTTTTTTTATGTCTCAGAGTTCAGCTTCTCCCAATATTTAATTAAATGTAGAGTTTTTCTCTCTTATGCTTTGTTTTATTTGATTTCCAGTCTGGTGTCCAAAATGCACTTTACAGACATATTTAAACAAGGCGCTGATAATTAGAGCATTTAGTCATTCTCTGTCCTCCTCCATCAGTCTTTCTCCTACCCAGCCCAAACCACTCTGTCTGTCTGATTAACCTCCCTCGTACTCTTGTCAAACCGCTTTCCATTGCACATGGCAGATTGAATAGAAAACAGCCACATTCAATTAGTCACTGAATGGATGGGTGCTTGCTGGTGGAACATCACAAAACCCAGATAACATAATTTTTTTTTTTTTGCTTTCTTCTTTTGGAGCCACTGGCTTTGTCAGTAAACATACCAATTTACTTGTGCAACAGATTTTTGTGAAATCTTACTTAAGAATATAACAGAACCATAGTAATTTCCAAATAATCACACCATCAACTTCTACGTTAAATTCAAAGATAAAAAAACAGAATCTCTGAAGTGTTGGTGATATCTGTAAAGCTGTCAAAAACTTGCTGCTCTTAAAGAACTGTTTAACCTGAAAAGGCAAAAACAAAAGCCTAAAGAATGCGTTTCCAGATCCTTTATCTGGAAAAGGAATTCTAACCTTTAAATATACATTTCTAAATATTACAATCTGAAATATTTTTCTTGCATCATAACTGGTACACCTAATACTCTGTCCTTAGCATTAACAAGCTGCTACTGAAGCTAAGTCACCTCACATAGTCTGATCTATTTTGAAAAAGACTGTCTTCAAGGAATTAAATGTCAGTGTTCTGATAGAACAGCTGTCTTACAGTAATATTTAGCCATATCTGGTTGAAAGTAGCAAACCAGGGTGACCAGGTTTTCTTTTTACTTTAACTGATGCCACACTTTGAGGCAGCTAGTTTGATCTCTAACTTATGGTTGGAGAAATGCCAACTTCTCTTCTTAGAATTCCAGTTTCTGGGGATTTGCTGTTTTGTTATGATTTTGGGCTGTTTCTCTGACCTTCCATTACAGGCATGCCCAAAGTCGGTCCTCCAGGGCCGCTGTACTTCAGGTTTTAGAGGTTTCCCTGCTCTAGCCCGGGTGATTTTCATTGATAGCCAATTAACAGGCTTTGTCTTAACTGCAATCATTAGAATCAGCTGTGTTAAAGCAAGGAAACCTCTAAAACCTGCAGGACAGCGGCCCTCGAGGAACAACTGTGGGCATGCCTGCGTAGTCTATTTAAACAATTCCTATCTGTGGGTGATAGCTTTAGCATGCTATATTTAGGCAAGGCAAATTTATTTGTATAGCACAGTTCAGTACAAAGACAATGCAAAGTGCTTTACATGATTAAATAAAACAGAATCAAGTAGGGGAAAAAAAAAAATAAATAAAATAAAATAAAAAATGCAGGAACAAAAAAGAATATTAAAAACATTGGGACTAAAGAAAATTAAAAAAAGTTGAACTAATGATGTTTTAGTTGAACTGTTTAACTAGAACAGTCGAAGGCAATCCTAAACAAATGTGTTTTTAGTCTTGATTTAAAGGAACTAAGGCTTTCCGCACTTTTACAGTTTTCTGGAAGTTTAGCATTATAGTGCAGTTTAGCATGCTAATTGGTATGCTTGGATCTATTTGCATTATGTTAAGTTTTGAGCATTACATATGTAGGGTAAATACAGAGGCTAGGTGATTTTAACAAGTCGTTAAAGTTAGCATTAGCGTTCCAGTATTAGCATTTAGAGCTTGCATTTAGTCTGCTCTGGTGTACTGAGCAATGCCTTTTCACCTTTCTATACCTATTCATAGCTAACATTTAACTTTCAATTCACCATTTAACAAAAGACAAACTGCTGCTCAAAAGTTAATACCACTACAAAATAGCTTATTCTCTCTATACTCATGTGCTGTGCTAAAACTGTTAATAGTTAATTGGCCTCATTTGCAGAAGCTTTAGGATTTGCAGGGTTACGACAATGTGTGAAGAAACTGGATTTATTGAAAAGTAAACTTGTCCAAGATAGACTAAGTTATAACATTAAAACTTTTGGGTATTGTAGTCATGCTCTAAAGTCCAAATTTCTCCGTCCTCACTCTGTACAATGAACTGCATCACCTCTTGAAATCAAATTTTATTTTTTCAAGCTGTAAATGTTCTATTAGTACTTAAAATTCAGTATGGTGCCTACATGGCTTGGATTCGCCTCTTCCTTATTTAAAATATCAATGTGCAGCCATAATATTTCAGATGGTGTCGTAGTGAACAGCTTGTTCAGCCCACAATGCAAAAAGTCATCGAAATGTAACACTGGATAAATAGTGATTGGATACGCATAAAAAAAAAAAAAAAAAGCAATTTGCTTTGTTGTATATTTTTTGTTATTTTTTAATAATAGACCTTCCTCAAAAATATATAATTTTTACTTTTCTGTCTATAATTTCTACTTATCACTTTACTGGAATAGTTTAAAAATATGTCTTTCTGATTGTTTTTTTTTCTGCCTTGCATGTATATTTACAGTATATCCATACAGGTTATAACTAAATATTCTGTATTGTGAATTAGTGAATTCCAAATATAAGGTCTTCACACTAGCTAATCATAGGTCTACTGATCATTATGATAATTTTTCTTCCTCAGATCAGGGTGACCGACACCCAAACCGCAAAGCAAGAGGTCAGCTCAGGACCAAAATTGAGTCAGGGGAGGGCACCATTCCTGTACGATCCAGTAACACCATCCAGACCTGGGATGGTGTGCTTCAAGGAGAGAGGTTGCTCACCATGTCCTGCAGCGACAAGATTGCAAGGTAATTGGGTTGAAATAAAGTACGTAAAAGTTGATATTTTGCTTTAAGACTCAAATATTAAATTCCTCGTCAGCATTGTTTTGCAATTTTACCGGCAGATAATGAATATATTAGTTACTACAACTGGGAGTTATAGTTAATTAATATGTCATTCAAATTAAGGGCAAACCCAAGTAATTATCTTTAGATGAATTATTATAGCTGACAATTGTCTGAATTACTACATGTTTTTAACTGCTTACCTTTGTGGCTGGACTTCTTTACACAGTAGTTAAAATCCAAGATGTCTTCTACATCAGTAAATGTCTATAACTTGGTTTATAAATTATTAACAGAAGGGGTGATTTATTTATGAATCCTTATGATGGTAATATTATGTTCAATAAAATATGCAAACACTACAAACTACTGGAATAAATGCAGAATGCATGAAAGAATCAGCAAACATAAAAGATTTCAAATGAGTTCTTAAGAGGGTCTGTTGACAGGGTCTCAGATGATGTCCATCAGATTAGCTGTAGAAATGATTAGTGTGACAATAGTCTTTATATGGTCTTTGGTAACAGTCAAATCAAGTTTAACTTCATCCAATAATAAACAATTACCAATAAACATAATGCATTGGATGTTAAACCTTTTTATGTTTATGAAAATGAGTAGAGATGTGGGGAAACGCAATGCTTCTGTTGCCACGGCAATGGATAGTTTAGCTGCCTTAATCCACAGCTAGCAATAGCTAGCCAACAGGCCACAAACATGCTACTGCAGTCAGCTAACCCTGATATATTGGCAGCTAGCTTAGGATGGTAATCACAGGCCAGGAACCAGATGGCCGACCCACGCTCGCCCTCCAATGGCAGCCAATATGGCGGTCGATTCGAGTGCTGGTCAATTCTACAAAAGGGACACAAGGGTGGGTGGAGTCTTTGTTAGCGTGTGCCAGCCTATTTACCTTGTCTTAGTTGCTGTAATAGAGAGCCACTACACCAGAAGCCAAGATGTCTGTGATTCAATGGGAACTGGAAAAAAAAGGATGTCTGTCTGTTGCATATGTTGTCTCAACACACACAACATATGCAACATTTTTACATATGTAGAAAGTCCAGAAGCTCCCAAACCATTGACTTCAACATTTTTTTCCTACTTTTTATGTATAAAAATACTTTTTCTTGTTTATTTGCATTCAATTGGGTGCAACTACATATTTATGAACCATATTATTTTGAACCTATTTCTTTTATTTGCTGCCAATATAATTTCTGCAAAGGGATATATTCTCCCACCCTCGATGCACTTTATCAATTCAAGTCCATGACTTTCTCTGCTGTGAGTGTGGAGGAGAGCTCGGTGAATTGATGAATCCTTTGTCCCTGGAAGAACTTTTTTTCTCGGCTGATCATAGCGTCTTTAGTCTCTGTCGATGTTCAAGGCAACACTGTGATTAATGACTGATATATTTTTCTGTTTCTGAACAGCATAAAATAAACAATCTGGGTTTCAAAAGTCCCACAATGCAGTAAAAATATAATGTATTAATTGTCATATATCTAACACAAATATTGAAAATTGAAGGTAAATTTTTTTTCATTATCATTTGAATTTGCCTATAATTAAGTCTAAATGTAACTGGTGGTGAAATGCATCATTAAAAGTAATATGATTAAAGACAAATGTGAGTTTTTCAGAAAACTATCTTTTAAAAATCCTTTTTATTTGACCCTTTATGATTAAAACATCGTTTGTTGACACCTGAATGAAAACTCCATGTAAGGTGAAAAGAGTAAAATAAAAAAACAAAGTATGAGTGCGAGCTACTGTACGAGAATGAGCACAAGAGTGCTGCAGTTCTGTGTTTTGGCCACAGGTGGCAGTATCATTAGATAACTCTGTAATGCTTCTTTAAAGGTACACTATGCAACCGGTGTTGATTTTCCAGCGAGGCTCCCCCCAGAGGGCGAAAGTAAAAGTGCACTGTCGTAAATATGCACAGCTGTTCTCCTGGTTTCTCCGTCAAGCCAGGCGCGGTTGTTTTGAGCTTAGCAGACAGGCGAACGCAACGAATGACTAATGCTGCGTTCACACTGGACGCAGCTGGCGCGACAGAAGCAGCGAGTTTACATGCAAAGTCAATGGTTGACGCGCGTCAAGGCGCAGCAAAAGGTCCCGCGGCACGTTTTGAGCAGCAGGCGCAGCGCGTCTGAGCAGCTGAAGCAGTGCGTCGGGCGCGTTTAATCATCTGACGCAGGGAGAGAGACACAGCGCTGATGATCACTCCTCTTAAACAGTTTATTGACGCCTAAATTAACTGCAGAAATCTGCCGGCAGAATATGTAGTTTGGATTATTTAGATGAAAAACACCTACCAGCTGCCACGGTGAACCGTGAGGAGGCGACCTGGCCAGAGGCTGCTGATGAATTGATCCATACTGTCGGCGCACCGCTGGTATGTGGGGGTCTGAGCGGCTCCGACAGAAAAAATATTGAAGGCAGGATAATAATCTGAATGAACTGACGGCACTGATTACGTTTTCAGGTGTATTTTCTCACTTAAACACATATTAAAACTACTTTATTCCTACTGATCACAGCAAATATAGCTGCAAGGCAGAGAAAGGATAGTGAAGCTCCGCCCAACGCGCCTCAGACACACTTTTGCATCGCGCAGCCAGAGCAGCAAAGCTGCTTCAGCCGCCGTCAGAACTAACTGGTACAAGCAGCAAAAATGAAGCAGCAGACGCGATTTTGCTGCGTCCGATGTGAACGTAGCATAACTGCATAAAGATCGCCACTGTGCTAGCAACGAGAATGCTTTTAACTGGGGGCGTGTAGCAGTTCTCGCCGTAAAGCAAGACTGACTCTTGTGAGACTTCTGAGCCTGTGGGTGCGGGTCGGTGCTCCTGCAATTGCAAGTGCAGTATTTCCCCCACAGACCACCAGGGCGGCCGAGAATACCTTTGTTCAACCTGAAATGACTCATTTAATCATCCAAAACGTTATGGAACACATTAATTAACTGAAAAATGTTGCATAGTGTGCCTTTAAATTGTTTCAACAAAAAATGATTTCAATTATTTGATAGGTAATTTATTTCCTTCCAGAAAAAAGAAGCTGATCCTTTTAAATTTTTATATAAAAAACTGAAAAACTTAATTCCATGTATTTTTTCCACTCATTACACCCTTCTTTGAGTTTATCATTCATATTAAGTCATTTAGGTCTGTTTTATAGTAAGTACAAGTTATTTCAGTCATCTAATCTATCAACTCTCTTGAAAAAAACTCTACTAACAAAATAAATGTAGTCAGTGTAGGTCAGCTGTTTACCGAAAGCGAATAAATGAGGATCGTGCAGGCCTGTGGATAATAATAGTAAAAAAAGGTAAAAATACAGTGTTGGTCTTAAGCAAAGCAAATATAAAGTGTTATAGGTAAATATTTCAGCTGCTTTGACTCCCCCCACCCCACATCAACTTGAACCACATTTCATCATGTCTTTCTTTTGATTCTGCCTTCTAATGAGGCTTTCCCAGTCTGACTTTGTTAGGCAGAAATATGTCTAAATGATTGTACTTGTGAGTGGTGTTGAAATCCCCTGGGAACATTGTGAACCGTTTTTTTTCCTGAGGAACCTGAATGGAGCACAGTTCATTACGATTCAAATAATGCCGTTCTATGTTAGATCCAATGACTGCTGTTAACTAATCAAATGGGGGCTTTGGTCAAATTTTAGGTAAATAAGGGCCAGTAATTAGTCAGTGATTATATGACCATCATTTTACATGTTTAGTTACCAACATAAGAGATTGTCACCGTTTTAATGCATTAACATTGAGCCAGCTCATTTAAACAGGCTCTTTAAGTTTCTACATACTGAATCTTTTTATGCTGCTTTATGTTTTTACTAACTCTTACTATGACTGTCTTTTGCCTGTTTGGTCTCTCCACATGAAGCCACAAAGCGTCCTATTCTGCTGCTAAAAAAAACAACAACACAAAACAGGAATACAGGGAGGTTTGACAGGAACAAAATTGAATGCCTCTGAAAACATAACTCCAATGAGTTTTCCTGCCTGTTTCTGCTTCGTTTTGTTCGCTGCGTGTCCTTCAGAAGGTTTTCGGCTGAATTTGTGTCTCCGTACTGTTGCGATAAAACAATGTGTGTATATTGCTGAGAATAATATGAACCTGTTTGACTGTGCTGAAATTTTTACAGCCTGCAGCTATAAAAGCCTGAGATTTCATTTTTTCTTCTCTATTTTTTCCACTCACCTGCTCAAACACATATACACCAAGAATATTATGTTTGGAACAAAAGAATCTGTTGTGCAGCATTGCATCCTTTGTTTTCGTTTTCTTCCCAGGCTCAAATTAAGACTGAGTATAATTTCTTTAATTGAGTTATTCTGTTGAACACTATAAAAAATCAGAAATGTTCCACTTATTACTAAATATAGTGATGATCTAAGGATCAGTACTCTTATGCTAAGGCTGGTGAGAGTGTTTTTTTTTTATGGTATATACTTCTAAAATAGAAAAGCTTTCACTGCAGTTTCCATTTGCTTCTCTAAACAACAGCAAACAACATCTTATTTTCTAATTTTCTATTTAATTTGATGTTTTTGACTATTGTCTTAGAAATGGCACCAGGTTACAAAGCTTCATCTGTCTGTGCATAAAATAACTTCAGTTCGTTGATGCATCAAGTGCCGTGTTCTTTCCCTATTGAGGTGTTTAAAAATCTCTTTGCTGTTTTCTTTAGTTTTAGTCAGTTATGGTACAAAACAAACCCAAATAATTTGAAACTGCTTCTTAAACATGTAAGTGAGTTTACTGTGCTGCATTAGCCACCACAATCCCCAGATCCTAATCCGATTACAAACCTTTTTCAATACCGATTGGTCTTAAATGTCACGGTGTGACATGCAACCCATTGGCATGCCTACATTTCCACACTGTGGCACAATAAAAAAATAATTCCATCCTATTTAAGCATCCATATTACGAACATTGTAAAATGTATCCTGTGAAAAATGTAGGCAAAAGATAAACCAAGGTAGTAACACCATCATGGTACATACTGATATCTACTGAACTGTCTCCCACCAAACCTGTAGGGGGAGCTCTACATGTAGCCTCTGGAGCAGGGATGAAGAAGAATGCTAGCTTCCATTAGCTTGTTGGCTTGCAACAGTTAGAGCTTTCACTACCCGATCTGTCCGGGAAGCACGATCCGTTCTGCGCGTGCACACATACATCCGTGTCGTCCTCGATTTCATTTTGTTAAAAATACCTAAATGACGTTTTCCGTCCCCAAAAATAGTAAACGTACTAAAATATAATGTGTTGGTTAATAATGTATTTCCTGAGAAAATAAATGCCTTAAAATCTTGTCTTTTATCACTTGTCTGTGCCCTACGCTACGTTCGGGCTTTGGATTTAAACAAAAATCTAGTCTTTTTGAGTTTTATGTTTTTGTTTCGTTTTAACCGTATGCTATATAGAGTAATCTAAAGAAAGAAATAACTAAAATCCAGATAAACATGGTTTAATCATATTTTGCAGGACTGCTCTGAGCATGTCCCATGATGATGTCAGAGAAGCAGTTTAACAAAGAAAATGTTAAAAGCATAGAAATTGTCTCACAAGTCAGAAAACATTTTTTGATGTGTATTAGTATTCTTTGATGTGTATTAGTATTCTTTAGTCAGTTAAGGATAGAAATAAGTGGTTTTAGTACCATATTTAGATTATTTATGGACACCCGGAAGTATATCTATTTGCGCATTCGCAGAACGGATCGTGCTTCCGGGACGGATCGGGTTGTGACAAGAGCTTCTACTGAAAGATGGAGCTTTTTCAGCTTTTCACTTCAGCTCTGAAGGAGTTAAGCACAGTTTTTTCATTGGTTCAGCAGCTTTAATGAGGCAAATAAATAGTTAAATGTTTGAATTTGGGACATTTGTTCTCCATTGTTCTTGCTACTAGCATGTTCTTGTGCTAAATGAATATTAGGCCCTTATTCTTTCTTTTTAAACTTTGACTTCCCCCTCTGGCAGTTAAGAAAAATCCACAGAAAAGCTCCACCTTCTTATAAACCGCATGGTTCAAAACTTAGGGAAAAAAAAAAATACTTTCATCCAGCCATCTTAAAGCGGTTTGTTTCTTTATCCATTGTAAATTCAAAGCAATTGATGTCATTTTTAGTTTATAATTATCTTCCTAATGCACAGACTACTCCACGAATTTGATTTTAGAAAAATATAAAAATTTGATACTTCAATTAATTAATGAAGCTTTGGATACCTCATATAGTTTCTCATTTATTAATAATTTGTTGCTTGGTCATGATATTTACAGCACAAAAAAATTATCTATTGATTAGATCAAGATTTAAGGGATATCATATTTCCCAGCTACAGGTTACCGGTTAGAAATACCGGGAAAAGCCGGTTGGGGTGTATAGTCTGATTTACTGAGATATCTATTGAGCTGTTCAATCCAGGGTTTAAAGAGCAGTAAATATGTAACCAGGAAATTAGTAATGTAAGAAAAAGAAAAATTACTCTCACACCATTTTTACCATTTTTTACTTCTAAAAGCTAGAAAATAGGCTTCATGAAAACCAGCCTAACCACTTATTTTTCCACTCAAATATTAAAGGTGAAAACAGCCTTTGTAATGACCTTTTGAGGGTTTTGTTTTTCTACATTAAACCTGAACTTAATCTTTTTATCTCAGTTCTCTAATTGCTGTCTGATATCCCACATAGATGAAATTGCAAAATTACAAAGAAGAAAAAAAAACTAAGACCCAGAACCTTATAATCAAAGTATTTTCTGCAATAGCTTGCATGTGTTTTTGTTGTAAAGTTGTGAGTATCTGATCACTGTTCTTCCAGTTGCAGGCATTTATTAAACATTAACAGCTGCTATTTATCACTATCCAGATATGTGTAAGGGAGTAGTGCAAACTATTTATTTTATTCTAACTGTCTACATAATTTGGATGACACCATTTATTCAGACTTTTCTACAGCTTTCTGAGTTGGAGTCAGTCTAGACATTGACTGATGAATCAAACAGTTTGGTCGCTGTGTGGTTATTGTGTTTCCAACATAATCCCAGAGTCCATGTGATCTCCTTCCACAGGTGGAATGTGGTGGGCATTCAAGGCTCTTTAATGAGCTACTTCACTGAGCCCATCTACTTCTCCAGCATCATCCTGGGCAGCCTTTACCATGCTGACCACCTCTCCAGGGCCATGTACCAGCGCATTGCAGATATCGAGGACCTGCCCCAGCAGTTCACCCTCAACAGGCCTCTTCTCAGTGGTAAGAGACCTTCCTGATTAGAAAAGGGTGATAGAATAAGGAGGAACCGGTTGGTAATCTGAATTGTTTCTCTTAAATCCCATGCCTTAGCTTTGTCACATTCACAATTTTCTAACATAACAATCCAGACAGTGTAATGTCACGTTTTTAAATAAAAAAGAAAATCTCACAGCTCTCCAAATATCAAGCAGAAAGATTTTTAATTCAGGATAGTAAACACATTTCTTCACCTCACGGGTCACTAGTGGAGGACAGGAGGAGCTTTCCTTCTTTGTTTGATCGAAGCTGACATTTACCTTTCTGCTGTGGAATTTGAATAGCTTTAACATTTTGTATAAATTTTCAGCAGTGGCTTGACCTTTTAAAAAGGCTGTTTTGTTTTACCTTGCCTTTTGTTTTGTTTTTTATTTAGAACATTCAGCTTTTGTGCTACTACATTCCATTGTTTCTTTATTTTTAAGTTTGACGATTCATTATTAGAAAATCAAAGAAGATTGTCCCTCTAAAACCAGTTGGTTAAATGTGATAAACTCTTATTTTGCCTAATCTCAGTACAGCTAATACATACATTCTCAATATCTACATAATTATTGTAAAATAGCACTTTCACAATATGCAGGATCTTTATTACATAAATAAAATATGTTGTTTCTGTCAACTAATCCCACTCGGGTGTAACACTCTTTCATTCCCCATGAAAGTCAGCCTATTTTCAAGGTTTTGTTTACAGTCAAACCCTTAAGCATTTACCAACCTGACAGATGAAACAATGAGACAAATGATATTTTGCAAATATTTTGCTCCTAAGCTTATATTTTTCCAAAAGGATATTGCTTTTCTTTAGCTATGTGTAAATCATTAAAACAAAATCCTAGACATCTGTCTAGGTAATAATGCACCCTCATCTTCATCTGAATAGATGGTGTTTATTGATTTTACCTTTATGTATTATCTTGAATAATGGTAAAACCTCTGAATAAATTATCATTTTCTCAGCAGGTTATCAAAAACTTAATTATCCTTTCAGAGATCTCTAGGAAAAAAGACTTTGAATAACATTTCATAATGTGTTAAATGAACATGAGAAATTACAACAGATTTAACAACAATTATAATCTCAGAGCAGAAAAACGGCTCAGGTTATGAATGTCAGCGCTTACCAATGGGCTCACTTCTTTACAAAGTCTTCCCAGAATAATAAAGTAGCAATGTAGACGTCTCTGAGTCACCAATGCCACATCATCACATCTTGGATCAGGACATCATACACGTTTGTAAATTATATGACTAAATAATGTTGATGGATATTTAAATTGGCAAAAAACTCTCAACAATGTCTTTGTTTGCGGATGATAGCCAGTGCAAAAATTATTTTAGGGTTAAAAAGTATTAAGTAAAAACCACCGGTACGAACACTAACCCTGGGTTTCCACGGTTAATGCCGCATAGCGTCCAAACACCCCTTTTGCAGTGTGATGCAGCCAATCTAGTCAATGAGAGTGCTTCCAACCGGGGTGACGACGTATAACAACGCTTCCCTAAAAAACATGGCTGGTCTGTTTTACACTCTTGACGCTTCAAATCCTCGTAGGTTTAGAGTAGAGCCGATCGTTCAGGCAGGAAGTAAGTTACTAAAAACCAAAGTGAATCCGGTGCAGTTTCAATGTTAAATACTGCATGTGCACAGCTGCGGTTCACTGTAGAATGCATTTTACTTGAAAACATCAAAACAATATTACTTGCAGCTCCACATAGCCACCAGGGAACCTAACTTTATAGAGCTTCATTGCCCAAGAAAGGTTTATTTTGGAGGTGAAAAAACCAAATTGTTTCATATGACATGACTGATCTGTTTCATGTAGAGAACAGCAGAAAGAAAAAAGCAGAGGCTGAAATGTAAAGTGACCAGATAAATAGCAGGTTGTACTTGAATAAGGTTTGATTTATTTTGCTAGGTTTTATTGCCAACAGGTTGTTGAAAGGTTTGTTAATAAGTGTGAAAATAGCACAATGTTTAAAACATAATAATTCCTGTTCTTATTTTAAACAAATAAAATACTAACAAAATAGTTATAATAACAAAAAAGAAAAGTGCTTTTTCTTAATATATTTTATGGCATTGTTAGTTGCAGACTAGGTTCCTGGCCAAAATCTAATGCTTTTTTGGGGGCCTCGACATGAACGTCTTAGAGCCCCTCCTGTTTGAGCATTCGCACAAATTAATGTGTTTATTATACTACTTTACATCTGTTTTTGTGTTTATGATACGTTGGGACCAGTTTCCTATGAACACAATATTGTTGCACGTAAAATTTGATTAGTATTTAAACCTGGTTGCAACAAAACTTTTGTTTTGTTTTTTAGATTGAAGGAGGGGTGCAGCTCTAATATATATATATATATATATATATATATATATATATATATATATACATCACATCACACTGGTATTTAAATATCACAGCAAAGACCCAGTAATTGTATTTATTTATAACATGCCACTCTATGCAAATCATCTTGGCTTAATGATGAACAGTCCTTTAATGCAGGATACCAGATGCAAATTATAAGTCTTGCCTACTTTCCTATTAAACTGGGTTAGAATTTCCTGTTCACTTAGTGGTGTTTGCAGTCCGATGAAATTATTTTACCCAATGTTCATTTGGTCTCTAAATAAAAGGGGAAAACAAGGTTCTGATTGCAGAAAATGTAACGCACTCAAAACTGTAGTTTGTGTCTTCACATCCTTGATCCCAATTCACACAATATTCAATCTGACATAATAGAACTTGATGTACCCAACATGTGCACTGATAGCTATGGTATAGTAGAAGCATTATTCATACACAGTGTTGGGTAAGTTACTTTAAAAATGTAATCCGTTACAGTTACAAGTTACTTTGTTTAAAATGTAATTGTAGTGTAACTTTTTCGATTACTTTTAAAAAGTAATGTAACTAATTACTTTTGATTACTTTTTGATTACTTTAGGGTTTTAATGAGTATTGACCCATGTTCAACATTTAATTTTTGAGAACTGAATGTGAACCTTCAAAAAGCACTAAGCTGAGAGGGAATTGCTGACAGGCAATCACAGGATGTCCCCAAAAAGAGATGCTTCGTCTATCAGTGAGTTGCACTTACCTCTAAATGTTTCCTCAGGTTTGACATAGATTGCTTCGACGTGGACAAGTTCTTGATAGCCGGCAAACACTTCTTGCACTGCACAGTTAAATTTGAGCCATTTTCACAGATGTAAATGAAATGCTCCTTAAATTTCCAGTGCTGGGAGGCCGTCATTTTTGATGCGCTGCTTGAGCTGAAATAGAACCGTCCGCTCGCTTGCTGTTCCTCAAGGAGGCTCCACCAGCACAGGATGGATCATCAGAGTGGCAAATATGATAGAGACAAGGAGCCGTAGCGGGAAATGGCGATACAGGGCACCAATAAAAATATCATTACATATTTTGCAAAGGTTTTTCTTTATATTTTTAAAAAAAATTTAACTAAATTTGTAATTCTTAATATTTTTGGAAGTAACTGTAACTGAATTACATATTTTCTCATTGTGACTGTAACGAATTACAGTTACTCTTTTTTTGTAATTAAATTACGTAACGTCGTTACATGTAATCCGTTACTCCCCAACACTGTTCATACGCATTGTTAAAAATCTATCTCATCTTTAAATTATTTATGTCTGGTTCAACTAGAACTAGAGCCTAATACACTTTCACACTTACATACACATACAAAAGTGAACAGGACACAGGGATTTATTGCATCCATATACAATATGTCTCTAACGTACATTGCTGGGTTTTTTTTTGTTTTTTTGGGGGGGTGCTTATTTGCTTGATTAGCTGACAGGCTAGCTAGATGGTTATTTTCTTATGGAACTAAATGGACATGACAGCACTAAGATCAGTTTCCAATCCACTCTGCACCAATGATTTGGTTCTAGTAAACTGAAGGGAACGAACTATAAGCTGTTTTTTTTTTTTTTTTTTTTTTGATTCATACCCATGAAAAAGCTTCCAAAACAAATCCTGAACAATTTTAGGTAAAGAAATGTCCGAACTTCTCTTTAAGCTTGACCATTGTGATTTCATAACAACGTAGATGAAGCATAAGTCTTGATCCTTTTTGTTTTTGTCCTCGGGGTTGGTGGAAGGGGGCATCTGAGTTTTACTTAGTGCTCCCTACTGCTCCTCTGCTCCTCCACTGTGGTTCCTCTCTAGAGGAGATAATAGTCTGGGGTTATTAACCTTTTCCGCTTTAGAGACTTTTTAGCGGTGAAGGGCTGTGGCCTTAGAGCAGTGAGGATTTCATCCGCTGTAAATCATTTTCTGCCAAAAGTGCTGCCAATTGGAACCAAGGAGCTTAATACACTTTCACACATACATACACACACCAAAGCGAACAGGACACAGGGATTTATGGCATCCATATATCTCCCATTTATGTTTGTGATACAGTGGAGGCCAAAGCCCTTTGGAAGAGTTCAAGCTCCGTCCTCGGAGTCCCCATCGAAGGAAGGCATCGTTTCTCTCCACCATGTTAGATAGGATCATATTAAAAAAAAAAGGGTTTAATAATTTCAGAGCTGTCTCCAATAGGTTTCTTCTGTGCCTTTTTCATTCCAGGAAATATTAGTTGATATTTTTGCAGGCGTACAATGTTTTTGTTAACATTCCAACCTCTTGTTTGGAATTCCAAGGGATAAGCAATGCTGAGGCCAGGCAGCCGGGCAAGGCACCAAACTTTAGTGTGAACTGGACGGTTGGCGATCAGGCGCTGGAGGTGATCAACGCAACCACGGGGAAGGACGACATGGGCCGCCCTTCAAGACTCTGCAAACACGCCCTTTACAGCCGCTGGGTGCGCCTCCACTCCAAGGTACAGTACAGGGAGGCACACATCACATCTCATGTTAAAGTGCCTTCCCCAAACTTTCACGCTCCTTTTTTTGTGAAATTTTTTTCAATATAGATAAATTCAGTCTCTGAAGGTTTATATTTATTTTTTTAGAAAACATTAGGGAACAAAAAGTGAGTATTTTGGAGACCAATGAACACAGCAGGATGGTGTAAAAGTTAAAGGCAGAGTCTGTTTCTAGTCTGGCCTTAGTTAAAACAACCAGAGCTGAAGTTGGATGGTTAAGATGAGAATATGTCTTAGAAAGGCCAATTTAAAGTTGAGACCTTAACTAAGATGTGATTTTGCAGAAAGACTTGATATTTGATGTTAACAGAAACTCTCCACCACATCTAATGTGGCTCTGTTTAGAAAAATGTCTTTGGACAGAATTTTCTTTTTTTTATATTTATGGCCATACCACTGATTTTGAACCCAGCATTCATATTTAAATTATTTTGAAAACTATGCTCTGATTTTTTTCTTTCCTTCATAATTGCGCAATGATGGTGTTGGTTGATCGTCAGTCTAATTTGTTCAAATTTTAAAGGTTTAGCTGTTTTTAACATGTCGTCAAGGGACTTTTTTCGGGTCTGACACTGGTTATTTTATCACACAATTCTCCACCTAAACAATTTTAGTTGTTATGCTATGAAAACAGTTTATTTAAAGTTATAGTGGAGGATTTTCTTTTTCCAGGTGGATCATCAAAATAATTTGTCATTCTAGTGATATGTTTACGTAAGGCCGTCCTATGTGCTCGTCCCTAGGTAGCCATCTTTTTCTGCACATGCGTACTTTCAGGTGTCAGCTCCTTACGTAAATACATTATCAATTACCGGAGGTGAGTCTGACATAGTGGGAAAATTTCAAAGTCAGCTTGTATGAGCGATACAAGCAGTAACTTTTAAACAGAGTGTGAAACGGGCTCTTGCACGCTCCCGCACGGGTTTAATAGGCGTTCCCTCTCGGCAGCAGGTACAGGGTTGTGCATGTGCATTTTTTTTTTTTTTAAGTGGAGAGGACAGACCTTTTCAAAACTTCGGGAAAATCCTCCACTATACCTTTAAATATTTATGGCTATAATAATGACTTTCCCTACAGGAAATTGATTTATCCTGAAACAGACTTTGATTTCCTTGTGAGACTTTGTATTATTTACCTGTCCTCATGTCTGTTTCCACCTCCCCCTCTCTCCCAGTTGTCATCCGTCCTACGGATCAAGGTACTCAAGCCCAGCTCGTACCATGAGGCCAAGCAGGCGGCCATGGAGTACCACTCTGCTAAGAAGGCTCTCATCAAGGCCTTCCATAAGGCCGGCCTGGGAGCCTGGGTCAAAAAGCCCATCGAGCAAGACCAGTTCACCCTTAGCTCCTGATTGAGTCCAGGGACCATATGGGGGGGGGGCAGGGAGTTCCCAATGCACCAGCTCCTCCCTCCTTCCTTGACCCAGGCCAGAAAGCTTAGAGAGTCCCTCGGTATCAACCAGGCATTTAATTTCCATCCCCATGTGCCAGCTACTACGCATGTGCACTTTTCACCTGCGTGATTTCACAAACTCTCCATAGCTCATCATTCCTCAGAGGACCTCATGTTGTTTCTCATTTGTAATAAACCTATTATTTGCTTTCACTTGTTTTCTGTTTTTTTAACTGGAACCATTGTTCTTTTTTTTTCATCATCTAGTTCTTTTCAGAACAAAATCATTTACCTTATGCTGTAGACGTGGAAAAATTGGCAAGATGAGTGTAGCCATTTTAGGTTGAGATGTAGCCTAGAAGGATGGCTAGATTTTTTTTTTTTGTTGTTGACTAAAACCAATGTGTATGGACCTAAAGAAATATACATGCTGACCTTTAATTTAATAATGCATAAATCCTCAAGATGTAAATTTAGTTCAGAAAAGGTGAAAATATTGTAGGTTTAACATATAACTGGTTTTATTCAGATGCCTTTTTAACTCCTTTTATTAAAGGTGAAAATGAAACAATGTCGCCCTGTTTGATTGACTCGACAAAATAAGGATCCCAACAGGAGTGACACACTCATGGTCCTTTTTAGCAGTTTTGTTTTTATATTCATTTGTTTGTTCATTCATTTTGTCCTCTTAACACATTCCCCATCACTGTCACTTCATACTTGAACATCTGGGTGGGTCATGTTGGATTCCTCCCCATCGGCTGGGTCCCGAGATGAAGCTTTAGGAGATGCTGCTCATCCTATATATTTTTTTTACTTATTTTTCCTTTTCTTCTTCTTGAATCCATGGCTTTGCATGGAAACTGAACTGAGAGGCTTGCCGAGCTGAAAACAAGCAAAGGGAAACTCTATGCGTCTATGATTTTGAATGAATGCCAGCAACTTTCTCCACAGGCAGCTTTGAATCTTTCTCTGTTTTCTAACTTTTTTGTGATTGATTGAATGATTTTTTGGGGGGGCGGGGCTAAGAGAGGAGGGTTTTTTTTTCTTTTCTTTACTTTCTGTGTGCCCTTATCCAAAAATAATGATTGGAAATGAAACTGCTAAGAGAACAGTGGCAGTAGAAGGAAACTTGTCAGACCCCGTTTTTACACCATGCAGCCGTCAGATCAGATAACAGTAGATGTCCTGTAGCACACGTATGGTACAGTATATGATGCTAGATTCAAAGTATGCCACATTAAGCCCATCTGTGGTGGCTGTGATGCAAACATGTCCCAATCTCCACACTGTTGACCTTGGAAGCACCTTCGAAGACCGCGCATGAACAGACTCGGAAGCCGTATGCTGAAACCCGATGCCAATAGTTTCCAACCAAATGTACAGTTTCGCAGTTTGATGTTCAGCCTCCTGTATTAACACCCCTCTGTGTACAAACTGTTCACCGTCAGTAAGTACTCTCCCATATCTTAAACCAGTCAGTGAAGATGCATTTCTAAGAAACTTCAATTAATTCCTGTTTCCAGCTGTAGGGGAAAAAAATGTTTGCGTGTGAAATTTGTGTGTGCTCAGGTGTCTTTCAGCATACTCAGTTAAATTTTCACCAAAGATGTAGATTTTCACCTGTTCCTCCCCAGTGTTTTCTTAACACCCGTTTTCTAATAGCTTGGCATAATTTTACCATCAGCCCTTTACTGGCAACTTTTTTTTTTCTAACTCTGCACAATGTATTTGTGTTTTGTGCAAGAAAAAAAAAAAAAAAGTAAGAAAAAAAAAAGTCTATGACCATACTGGGCAGAAAAGTCAGGCTTCTTTAGTGCAAATGTAGCTGTCTGCAGCCACCGTGCATTTTGTGACCTGCAATCATAACTGTTGCAATATACTTGTTATATAAAAGGAACAGAAAATGTGACAAGTTTTTCCTCTGTGGAAACCTTTCAAAATCTCCCCTTTGTCGGTGGGAATGTGAAGATGTTACTGTTCCTATATATGAGTTTGTGACTTGCTGGCTACAGCCGGCAAACGGCGCGGTACCAACTCTTCCAGAGTCGACGTGATTCATCCCCATTGTAGCAAGACAGATGCAGCAGAGAGAAAAAGCAGCACTGTTACATTTCTACTCCACCAGCTGGCACTTTTAATGTAATTTACAGTTGTTCAAGTCTGCTTGTTTGATATAATCTTTTTAGCCATTATTAGAAGAAAAAAAAAGCTGTGTTCAAAATGTTAACTCACTCACTCTCTTTATTGTATTAACTTCATACATATATAAAACTAAACGGTGGAAAGGTGTAGCCAACTTATTTTGCACTGCAGGCTCTAAATGCAAAGTATGTTTTATTCTCTGTTGAATATTGCATTAAAAAAACACCAGCAGGAATTATCTTAATATAACCCCTTTAAATTTGGAGGGCATTTGATTAATTATGATGATTAAAGTATTGTTTTACCAAAATTTTATTTTCAGTTAAAGGAGTCACAAACATTAGCTGTGGACAACAGTATTAGTAAAACATTAGCATGCCAACTTTAGTTTTATAATGCTTGATTGATCAAAATGCAATATATTTTTCTGATTTACACAATTTCTACTGTGCAGTAATGTATGTGTTGCGTATAAAGTGGCTGTGAATGCTTATAGGAGCATGCTAACATTAACATTAAGTTCAAATGCTTTTTTAAATTCAATTACAAGTGTGCTAAGTATTTGTCAGCATGTTGGATATTAGAAAGATTAGAAAATCTTAAGGTGTTTTTGTTACAGAACTAAACCACTGTACAAACACGGACCTTAAAGTGTAACTCACCCGCCAAAAACACTCTTTTTATTTTAAGATGCAGAGCCCCATCTTCGAAAGGTTTGCATGCATTTAAACTTGCAAATTTGTTTGCACACAAGTTGCAGAATGATTGGCATGTACAATGTCAGTGGATGAAATTTTTTTTTCCCCATGTGTGCCTTCAAGATTATACAGATTAAATTCTAAAAAACAAACTGCATAAACATGTAGGTGGAGTATATGCAATTAAAATACTTGTCACCTTCAAAGGGATTCATCAAACATAAAAGCAGTTTTTGTCTCTATTTTTTAGTATGTTTTAAAATCAGGTGCAAACTTGCAAGCAAATAATCCTGTGTCAATAGTTGACACAAAGGAGGTATTGGTAGATTGAAGCCCTACATATATAGGTTAGTCATTTGATTTACTTCTAATTGTTGCCAACATAGTGAATTTTTTATTAATTTTACATTTTTAGTATCCTGTAGGAAGCTTCTTTTAAAAGGAAAAAAAGAAAAAACAATCACTCGGACAAATAAAAAATAGACTAATCTAATTTAATTACTACCCTCAGTGAGAAGCAAGCATTGCTGCAAGGCTCTATCACTTTCCAAGCACTGATATCTGGTCACTGACATTAACTTCGGACAACAAACCACATCTGAAGTCTGAGCGATTCATTTAGTATGAATCATGCTTATTTAAGCGGATCCCGCCCTGGATTTTTGTAGTGTGGGTTCAGGCAAAGCACTTAAGTCATTAAAATTATTTCATAAAAAGTATTTCATTTCTCTATGCAAACAGGCAACAGCATAATTTTTACAATTTCTTGAGACTTTTAGGAAAGCTATAAGCTGCTTTCCTGGAGAAAAGTTGGGAATAGTGCTTTGGTGACAGATATCCAGGATACTTTATGAATTTAAAGCGCATGAGTCAACTGTACATTTCATAAATTAAGTTAAATGTTAAAGAGGTTTGACAAAGATCAGCTACTCACCTTACATCTGGTCAATCCTTGAGAAACACTGACCAATTTCAGGTTTTTGTTTTTTATGACCATTGAATGGTTACTTGCTAATGCAACTTTTATCAAATTACATATTTTTACCTTCCCCCTTGGCTGATAACAGCTAGGCACATTTGGTATAGGGCAGTAATACGTATTAATTGTAAATAATAAATTGTATTAGCCTTAGTATACTTATACACACAGTTAATTAGCATGAATGGTTTGGGAGCTACAGGGCATTAGGTTCTTTAAGGAACAATCCTGTCAGTAAAATCCTTTTATGATGCCAAAAGACAGATTTTCTGTGCGGTGGATGTTAGCTTGCTGAATTTTAATGTAGCACTTTTTGTCAGTTAAGGTTGAAGGATTAAGGGGTCTGGTTAAAAAAAAAAAAAAAACGCACCACCTCTGTACGTTACTTTTATTTTAGCATCTGAGAAACTCTTAATGCACGAAGCATTGGATTAAAATCAGCTGTAATGATGACAACCAAATGTTTGCATTAGTATGCTCTGTTAGCACAAGATTAAAATGGGACTAATTAGATCATTACGTACCACCTCTGGGTTATTAACACTGGTAGTGTTTATTTAATATATTAATTAGCTGGTAAAATTTAAATGTTAATGTCAGCTCTAATGTGCTTTGTCACTCAGGTTGTAGGTCTTTGCAGTCTGTTTTTGACCGAAGCTAGCAGTGCACTATATGGTGCACTAAAGTAAACAGTAGAAATTGTGTACAACTCTTAAAACTATGTGCATCTATACAGTGGACTAATAGTGAATAAACAATTTGAACACAGCTTTAAAATTAGATTCAGTGAAAATGGAGGACAGTTACATTTAGTGACCCTTTGCAATTTAACTCAACAAGAATAAACCAGTAGGCCTACTCCATAATATGCAAGTAAAAAAAGGTTCTCTTCCTCTCTGTTTGTCTCAATCATTATGTTAATATCCTGATTTGGTATGTTTACAAAGCTGTCTCAGTATTTTTCTTTTTTCGTGTATGCCTCATTAAGATTGCCTGCTTATAGAGTTTAGTTTGTTTTTTCTTTTTCGACTGCACTAAAGATGTCAAATAATGATGTCATGATTAAAAAAAAAAAAAAAGTCTCCATTTACAGTTTGGATGGATTCATCTTCTGGAGCAAGAACTGAACTACTTCTGTTTAACCCCTTCCTAATTTTCTGAAGACATCGTTGCATCCCTCCCCTTCCTGGTGGGGTACTGTTATTTTGGTTTTGCTCTGTGAGCCCGTATTTGGAGGCTTTTGCTCTTTCTGGGTCCAGTTGTCCAGTGCGTGAAATCCTCCACCGACTCAAATCACAACCTTGCATGTTCTACCAACACTGAAGCTGCACCTAGCATGATAACAAACTTTTAAGGACAATGTAGGGAGAAAAAAAAAACAGTTATAGATAGTTATATCAAATCAAGAAAAAAAAAGAGAATAAAAGAGTTCTTAGTTTACTTTTGATCTTATTGTCGAGTTTTCTTTTGTCTGTTGATTCTTTTCTTTTTGCCTGTAAAATCATAATTTAAGGGAAGTTTACTACAGCTGCCAGTGGATAAAGTGGAATAAATGATCACTTCTGTGCATCAGCTGCATCCAGTTCACCTTCGTTTGGAGATTCAAAAGAAGCAATGTTGACTAGCATAAAAACTCCTGCTATACAATAAAGCTACACCCAATAGCATATTCAACCATAGTTCAAAGCTGCATTAAGTAAATAATCGTTCAAAATCTTTGAAATTACATCAAATTTTACTTAAGCTGTGGAGTATTTTGGTTGCATATTCATACAACCAAGTGTTTTAGACCTTATTATAGCCCAAAAAAATCCCTTTTGAGTGATTTAAAGATTCATTATATAATCTCTTGAGTGAAGTTTGAAAGACTGACGTGGAATCCAATAGAGGTAAAATGGGATTAATGACACACCTGGTCCATCACATACAGTACACATTAAAAGGTGATATTTATGGCACTTTAAAGACTTTCAATGAATATTTTATTTAACTTTAATTCATAGGTTCCATTACTTTATATTCCAGTTGAAAAACAATCCACTGGACTTAATTTCCAAGTTTGAAGATGTTTAGCTTCCCATCCAGGAAGCTTGTTTAATTCAAAATGTCAGAAAGGTTGAGTTTTAGGCTTTATAGAGTGGACCAAAACAAAGCCTGGTTTTGGCTTAGAAACCATGCAAATTGAAACAGAATAACGGGTCCGCCCCTTAGGAACGGGGAGTCGTTTCAGTTCTTTGTTAGCCTGCAATACCTCTGAAACAGGGGTCTTTAGGGGTGGACCCGTTCTTCAGTTTTAATTTGCATGTTTTCTAAGCCAAAACAAGCCTTTATTGACATGTTTTAAAAAGTCTCGTAGTGAGAAGGACGCCAACAGAACAGCATAAAAGTCCAGATTTCAGCTTGTTAAAAACACCCAGAAACAAATACCTTCATTTTTGAATACATGTCATATGATCCCATGAAACTATAATTAAAATGTTGAGCCATCATCACCATGACTACAGTTAGAAGTGAGGGGAGTGAGCTTTTATGCCTTGGAAATATGAGGTTGGCAGCATCATGTTTTTTTAAAGTGTGCCGCAGGATGAACTGGTGCACTTCACTGAACTTATTTAAGGAGGAAACATCTGTTAAAGTTGTAAGAAATGTTGATTATTTTAGCTGCAACCTTATGTGTCTTATCCTCACTCCAAGTCTTAGTACAAACACCGATGTGATTTTACTGATATTAGAATCCAACATATTCCAGCAATCTATGGACATAGCGTTGTATACAACCAATTAGTATGTGCAAGTGCCTTGTTTTTCAGATAAAACATCAATCTTGCAAACATTTCTTAAAAAAAACTTTTTTTATTGGTCTCATGTAATATTTTTTAATTCTTATAATTATTTTAAATGCATTTTCATTAGCTATTAGCAGGGAATCTTAGTCATCAACCAAAATTAAAGCCTCAACACTTT